TTTTTTAATGAGAATGGGGTGAGAGACAGTGTCGAAGGCCTTCCTGAAGTCCAGAAAGACTACGTCCACTGCTACCCCTGCGTCTAAGGATTTTGTGACCTGGTCATAGAAGGCCACCAGGTTGGTCTGACAGGACCTGCCTCTAATGAACCCATGTTGGTTGCCCCTAAGCATAACCTCCCCTGCTGGCCCATTGTGGACATGAGCCAGGATAATTCTCTTAAAAAGCTTACCCAGGATCGAGGTAAGACTAACTGGCCTATAGTTTCCTGGGTTCTCTTTCCTCCCTTTTTTGAAAATGGGAACCATATTGGCCCTTTTCCAGTCCTCTGGCACCATACCAGAGCACCATGAGTGCTCGTAAAGCCGTGCCAGGGGTCCTGCAATGACCTCTGCTAATTCTCTCAGCACTCTGGGGTGGAGGTCGTCAGGACCAGCTCATTTAAATACATCCAGTCCCTCAAGAAGTTCCCTGACTAGGTCCTCACTGACCCTAGGCCTGGGTGCGCCTCCCCCAGGGCCTGAGGGGGTCCCAGTGGATGGGCTGATCTTGTCCCTGCTCAGGAAAATGGAGGCAAAGAAATCATTAAATAGGTTAGCCTTGTCGTCTGGTGTGACAACCAGATTTCCTAGCGTGTCTTGCAGAGGCCCCACATTACCCGGTACCTTCTTTTTGCCCCCTATATATTTAAAAAAGGACTTCTTGTTGTCCTTGATCTGGGTTGTTAGTGCCAGTTCTATCTCTGCCTTGGTCTTCCTGACCGCTCCCCTGCAGCCCCGAGCAAACGAGGTATAGTCCTCCCTGGTGATAGCCCCTCCCTTCCATTGGGTGTACACCTCCCTTTTAGCTAGGAGACGTTCCTGTACGCTTTTGGTGAGCCATGGGGGCTTTTGCACCCTCTTGCCCCTTTGATCCTTGTTGAGATTACCTCCCTTTGGGCTTGGAGGATCGTCTCCTTAAGGAACAACCACTCTTCTTGGACACCCGACTCCCCTCCCCTCCAGGACCTCAGTACTTCCCCAACTATTCTTCTTACCTCATTGAAATCTGCCCTCCTGAAGTCCAGGCCTGCTGCCTTGCTGCAGGCTTTTGCCACCTTGAGCTGGATGGTGAATTTAGGTTTAAAACCCTGTCCAGAAGATCAGGCATCCTGGCCATGAACAGGGACTTACTTTTCCTCGTGAGGTGGATGCCTTCCCTTCCCAGGAGTCCTCTCTCCCTGAAGTGCACACCATGGTCAAGGAATCCAAAGCCTTTTTGGTGGCACCAGCATTGAAGTCACCCGTTCACTTCCTCGATGCATCCTTCCCTTCTGAGACCGCAACCTGCAACAGGAAGCACAGAAGAAAAGACTATTTGCACCCCCAAACCCTTGCACCCAGCCCCTAGAGCCCTGTAGTTGCTCCAGACCTGGTCTGGATTACTCCTGGCCGTGTCATTAGTTCCCACATGGATGAGGAGCATGGGATAGTAGTCAGAGGGATGGACAAACTTGTGGATCGTCCCTGCTACATCTCAGATACAAGCCCCTGGGAGGCAGCAGACCTCATGGGCTAGGGGAGCTGGACAGCAGATGGGCCCCACAGAGCCCTGCAGGAGAGAGTCCCTGACCACCACCACCTTGTGCCTCCTCTTAGGGGTGGCATCAAGCTGCTTACCTTCCTCCTCTTCAGGGGTCACCATTGGGGCTTCCTCATGGGTGGGGAGGGGAGTATACCTGTTGTGCAGTGCCAAGGGAAAAGCAGCCCTGGCCCTGCATTACCTGGAGTGTGAGGTGACTGTCTTTCAGGTCACTCCGGGTGGGTCTTCTTGGTTAGCTATCATGCTGGCCACCATCTCTGTCTCTTTCTCTTCTTCCTTCTTCTGGAGAAGCGTCTGGCAGTAGCCATCATTGAACTCATCGTGTGCCTTGATAGCATGCAGCTGACAAATCTCCTCCTCAAGCTCCTCAACCCAACCCTCCAGAGACTCCACAAGGGAACACACCCCACAAGAGGGGGTGCCCCCATGTCGACTTGCCAGCAGCCACACCAGGCAGCCCTCACAGTCTGGAGCCACAGGGTGGAGGTCTACAGCCTGGGTAGAGGTCTCAGTGGTGCCACTGAGATATCACTGATACCACCTGCGAGTATGATGAGTCACTGCAATGGCTGAGAGTGATTGTGTGGTAACAGGCTATGCTATTACCCGCGAACTGACTTGGGATTTGCCTGCAAACTGCTTCCCCTGTTTGCAGTCCTTGTTTGCTGGGCTTCCTGGTCACCTAGGGAGTCTCCTTTTATACCCTTCTGGGCCTGGGCTGACTCAGCCCCTTTGTTGGGCTTCTGTCAGGACCAGGCAGCAATCACACAGCAGTCAACAATCCCACAACAATCAACAATCAGCAATCATCTAGTCAGGCTGAAGAGATTAATTGGGAAACAAGACTTCATATCAGAAGAGATCCCAGGGTCTTTCACAGAAATATATGCACCAGATGTTCCAATTTGAGGTGAAGGAGAAAGTAAAAACTAAATTGTATTAATATGTAAGTAACTGATGTGTCTGCTGTGTTTGCTAAGATCATGAGATACTAAGGGTCTGATTCTACTTCACATATTAGACAGATAAGTGTACTTAGGAACCTTATGTGAGATTTTAATTTCACCTTGCTTGAGTGACTGAAAAGCAGATAATACAAAAGATGAGCGGGTCTTCCTCCTTCTGTCCTCTGTGCTTTTCTGTGATTCAGTCTTAAAGATAAGGTGACAGTGATACAAGTAGATTCACTAATGCGTTTTCAGGACTTGAACAGGGTGGAATAGTTTCTCGCTTAGTCACCTACATCCACTTGGATACATAAAAGGTGGAATAGAATCCTGCCCTAAAATACTACTGCTAATGTCCATTCTCCATCAACTAGTTACAACATGTGCAGATGCCTCTTCTAAAATGTTGCCTGGCAAAGTGCAACCTCATAGGCTAAAAAATTCTGGGTGTCAGGTGGAGCATTCAAAGCAAGTGACAAAGTCTGTTTTTTTAAAGAGTAGAATATATATCCAAGAAGAGGTACCATTAAGTTAATAAGTTTCATTTGCATTTGTAAAGGTTGTTTTCTTGTGACTTCTTTAAGTTAGTGTTAAATTTAAGTTAAGAATGAAGAATTAAGTTAGACTTTAAGTCAGAATTAAACTTTTTTCTTAATGTCTAAGTACCAGTGTGTTACCCTTTCATTAAAAAAGCAGCTGTATAATTATCTTTTGAGACATGAATCATCTTGGCTCTCAGTACATGGCCCTGAATGAGTCTATAAAAGAAACTCGGGGTCACTGACTAGTCTTATCAAACCATCTTTTGCATTTTGAAAGAAATGGAGATACTTCATGTCTTTTGTCCTTCTTTACTTCTGATAACAGTTATGAAATGTTCTGCAGCAGCCCCAGCAATGTATGCATTGCTGAAGACATCCAACTGGAGAGATTTTCATATTGCACAGGTTAGTAAAACCTGCACTCATTGTGGATGGAAGATGATGTTAGTAAAATTATATAGATAGAAAGAAGTAGGGGGAAATCCCATCATTTGTTATCATCTCCCAGGCAGCTAGCTGTACTTGGACACTATACTACCATAATTCATTGTATATGGTGTCTTTAGTAACTGAGTGATTCTTATGTACTTATTTTTTCTTACTAGATTTTTATGGGTTTACCTATAGTTACAAGTAATTATTTGATGTTAGCTTTTTGTTATTATTTTGCATTGTAGCTTGGGTATGCAAGCCTTCTTTCACCTTATACAGTCACCTCTGCTTACCTAGCACAGTCAGCCTTCTCAGAAAGACAATCAAGTGCTCTGTCTCTCCCAACCAAGGAAAGCAAAAAAAAAAATAGTTATGCCACTACCATATTCTCCACCATGCCTCCCAGTGGGTGTATCTACACAAGATGCTTAATGTGCAGTGGACTAATTCCACTGTGCATTAGCTCATCACTGCAAAAGCCATGCTAATGCACTAATGCACAGTAGAAATAGTCTACTGCACATTAAGCATCACGAAAAGATGATGTGCCTTTGCTACTGCACAATAGCACTGGCTACTATGCATTTAGTTAGCACCTCATATTAGAGATACTTAATGTGCAGTAGCAATAGCACGATAAAGCATATGTAGATGTGCCCACTGGTTCTACATCCACTTGGAAAAAGGTGACCACACTCTTTTGAACTAAAACACTTCAGAGGTGCTTTAGCTCAAAAGCGCACTGCCACCATTTTCTGTGCATTGATGCACATATTGTTGCTTATACAACTGCATGCAGCGCAGCACAGTTCCCCTCAGCTCATGTGCGGAGCAGTGGATCTCCAGCACATCGTGGGGAAAAAAGTATGTGTATAAATGCCAAAGAGTTCTAAAATCCTTTGAAAGAAAATATTTCTCTATAGTTTCTTTTTTGAATTATTCAGCAGTCACAACCAAATTTGGGTTTGGATAAATCTCACACCCTATACCCCACATTGCATCTGTATACCTGAGAGAAGAATTTTGTCCAAAATAAGTATTGATCATCACAATGTTTAGAGAACAGAAGATATATAGCAGGATAGCTGGGGGGAAAAAATCTGTCTCCTAGCAACTTACAATGTATGATATTGGAAATAACTTAAGAATCTGTTTTCTTCATGCTAACACATCAATGCTGATTTGCAAGGAAACATGAGTCACTGACTATGAATATAACTTGATATATCGGACCCTACTAGTCTTTCATTTATATGATTGTAAAGTGGAGTAACTCTAGTTAAATCAATGGAATAATAGCAACATAACCACAGTGTAAAGTATAAGTTCTTCTAGGGTTAATATGCAGAATAAGAGCATACTACTGCTCACACAGCTTTAAAAGCAAAGCTATGTTTTGAAAACTAGCTTGAATAAGTTTGCCATACAGCATGTAGTTTCCAAATTCTATTAGGTATATATTGGACCCCTTGGCATGTTTAATTTCATATCAAAATATTCTTGTAAATGGATATTAACAAATATTCCAAATTAATTAAAGATAAAGAAAGCAAATGTAATGTATTTTAAATAGATGTCATGTTTATGATATATATCTCCAATGTGAAATAAAGTCAAATTCAAAACTCTCACTTTTGTTATATGTGAATATATTTATTATCAGTATAATAGTAGTATCTATCAGCTCCAACTGAGATCAGTGTCCTATTGTGCTAAGCTCTGTAGAGGCTATTTATGAGGAAAGAATTTTCTTTGCCCCATAGAGCTTCAAGTCTAAATAATCATGACAAAGAAAAGTGAAATGACTTTCCCAACACATGTAGAAGTAATAGCAATAGTAGCAGAATGGGAAGTGGAATTCAAGTTCTCTTTATTTCCATACCACACAAAAATAATATGGGGAAAGTCTTATAGATGCATGGAAAAGGCGTATCAATCCATCTTCCTGCAAGACTGTTCCCCATTGTACGTGTACTAATATTTTGCCTCATCTAGTTGTCTCATCATGATATGTTAGCTCACATATTTCAAATGAAGTCTAATTTTGCTGTTTTCTATGTGTTTCATAGTTTCATAGTTGTTAGGCTTGGAAGGGACCTGAGCAGATCATCAAGTCCAACCCCCTGCCATGGGCAGGAATGAATGCTGGGATCAAATGACCCCAGCTAGGTGATTATCTAACCTCCTTTTTCAAATATGTATTTACTGCTGTTTGCAGTAGCTTTTATTTTACTGGTCACCTGCAATTTTTTTCCATGATCTTTATCCTCTTCTAGATCATATACTTGTACAGACATCCACTACCACACCTTCAAACAATTTTGTTTACAGGAAAAATAAAGGCTGAATAGTAATTACCTGAAACAGTAATTACTTGGTGGACTAGGAGCTAAATTATAGTTTACACTTCCCCTTCTGAACCAAATCCGACTTGCTTTAGAATAAAATTATGTAAATAAGGAAAGCAGGACATGGTTCCATGTGCATATGAATACTCATTTTGATTAGTAGTTTGATTAACACTAATTTTGATTCGCCTTAATTTTGATAAAATATTGTTTGGGTCCAACCCAAGCATAGAAAAGAGAGACAATACACAATAGGTGACTAAAATTTATGAAACTCAAATTCAGGCAAAAAGAAATTATAGCTGCTCAATGATTTCTTCAATCTTGGTCTAGTGTCAATGATAATCTCAATAATTACAGTACATTGCTAATTACAGAATCATAGAAATGACATAACTAAATCATTATGCAAAATAGTTTTGTGTCTTTGAGCTTTTTATAAATTTCTCATAGGTTACTTCAGTTTTACTGATTGTTCTGCTTTGTAACAAGCCAAGGCTGGTGAAATAGGTCTGGTGAAAACTGCAATTCCTCTCTCTCAAAACTTCCAATATTTCAAGATTGATTTCATGCTGAATTGATCCCCCTCCAAAATCAATATTTTTCATTGAACAGAATAATTTGTTTAGTTACATGGAAATCAGGAGTGTTAAATATACAGCCTATGGCACTCCTAGAGGAACTGGAAATTAGAGGGCAGGGCAAGCAGGTGCAGGGCTTACTGCTAAAATCTGGGATACAAAGCCCTGTCAGGGATGCCTATTGACAATGGGAAAGAGCAACAGCTGCATTAATTTGCTGTGGCTCCCTGACACCATTGGGTCCAGATCTGTCCCAGTACAGCTCTCCAGTCTGGATCCAGCCCCGAAGGACCTCTGCAGTCAAGATCCTGGGGAGTCTTTCCTGGAGAAAGTAATTTGAATGTTTTATATTCCCATATTCTTTTTCGGCTAGGATCCATCACTGGTTGAAGTACATGGCACATAATTCCCTTCTAGCCGTGAGACTTCCATTATGTACTGCATCAGATATCAGTGACTCATCCATCCAAAAAGTCCAATCTGTGAAGGAAAATCGGGGCATGAGGCATACACTTACAACTCCCAGGAGCCACCACAGTCACCAAGGCAAACAGAGACTAATGCAGAACAAACCAAAATGAAACAGAAGTATTAAGGCAAACCAGAATGTGTCAGTTCAACCCAGAACAAAATATTTTGCTTAGATTTTCCCAATGAAAGTTGGGGAAAAAAATCAAATGGAAACATTTCCATGGAAGGTTTCAATTTTTCAGAAACTGCTCTAACATATTGCACTGCTCAAAGCAACCTATGATTCTGAAACATCCTGAAAGGGAGATGGAGCCAGTCACTTCTATGGCTGTCCCAAAACAGATCATTCCTACTAGGGCTGTGCAAAACAGCACAGTTTAGTTTCGACTTCTGTTTTGTCTTTTCAACGGGACAGTGTTTCGTTTCGAGTTTCCTTCTGTCTCAAAAGCACTGTTCAGTTTCGTTTTGTCAAAACTGTTTCACTGTCTCAATGCTGTTTTGACATTTCACCCATAGGCTATAATGGGGAAGCATGAAACTGCCTATAACTTTGTCATTTCTTGCCTGATTTGGTGCAGGGGTTTCTTGGAAACTTCACCTCAAAGTCTTGAAAGCAAAACTCGTGTTATGTGTGTGTGTTAAGGCAAAGTGGGTTGAAAACTGCAGGGATGGTAGCCCCTGCTGAGGCCATGAAACCTGACAGCTTTCAAGGAGATAGGTGCAGGGGTTTCTGGGAAACCGCACCTCAAGCTGCTGACAAGCAAAACTCATGACGTGTGACTGTGTGTGTGTGTGTGTGTGTGTGTGTGTGTGTGTGTGTGTGTGTGTTAAGGCACAGTGGGGTGAAACCTGCCGGGATGGTAGCCCCTGCTGAGGCCATGAAGCCTGCCAAGTTTCAAGGAGATAGGTGCAGGGGTTTCTGGGAATCTGCACCTCAAACCTTTCAGAGCAAAACTTGTATACTTGTAAGTGTGAAGGCACAGAGAAAGCTCAGTTCAAGCAAGGCTTTTTGTGCTGTTTTTCCGTCCTTCCCCCAGAGCACTGGGATTGGAAGGGACCTCAGGGAAGGATCACAGTCACTGGCCAGATACACATGTCAGTATCAGAGCAGTCCTTCCCCCTCTTCCCCCTCCCTCTCCTTAGTTTCTCTTTAGCTGCAAGCAAGCCCAGCTGCAAAATTTGAAATGTTTCAAAACTTTCAAAACATTTTGACTGTCCTTGTTTTGGTTTGAGGCTCTTTCAAAGCCTTTCATTTCGTTTCAGTTTTGCTGTTTCAAGCTCAAAACAAGTCAAAACCTTGTCTAAACGAAACAGCCAGCAAAATTTCACACAGCCCTAATTCCTACACCCTAAGTGATCTGAAAGAAATAATGAAATAGGCAAGTTAACGTATATCCAAGAAAAGCCTCTATATTAAGGAATCTGATCGGACAAGATGAGCTCACTGATAAACGTACAGCTACTTGTAATCTATGGCTTGATTTCAAGGTTCCTTGTGCTAATACTTCTACAGTGGGGCTGCCATGTCTTCTTGCCATCCCAGTATGAGTCCTGCCTAAAATATGCATTTCGTTTATAAATCAGCATTGCAGTTATCAGACTTAATTGTTATAGTATGATAATATCATCAATAGATGTAGAATGAGTGTTACACAGAGCAGTAGTTGACTCACTCTTCTCACTCTTAGGAATATCTTGACAAGTATTATATGCAGAAAGGAAAACACCAGGTTGGGGAGATGGCAACAGGTGGCAGTTCCATAACAAGGAAAATTAGAGAAATGCAAGCATTCTTTGGTCTTCAGGCTACTGGGAACTTGGACTATAACACTATAAGTGTAATGAAGAGGCCACGCTGTGGTGTCCCTGATATGGCAAACTACCGCCTGTTTCCAGGCGAGCCCAAATGGAAAAAAAATACATTGACCTACAGGTAATGTGTTTGAGTCTTTCTGATTGGGCTTTTATTTTGGTGGGTTTTTTAAAGGTATTTAAAAAATTCTGAAATGTTCCTTTTTGTACTTTGCATCTTTTGTCTCATGTATTCTGCAAACAAAATTTGTAATGAACTCAATAGCATTTTTTCTATGAATGCACAGGGTATCAAAGAAATCACAGGAAGAACGTATAATAAATATGCACCATGCAAACCCATTGCAGGATTTTTAACATTGTTTTCACTTGTTTTTGCTTTATAAAATCAAAAGGAAATAAAATTTACAGCCTCAGTCCACAAAATGAGACAATTTTATTATACACTGGTTGAGTCTGCATAAGACACTGACTGCGCAGTAGCATCACGTGGCAGGAAGCACGATGCAACGCTACTCCGCAGTAGTCCCAAGCTACTGCACAGTCAGCATCACAAAAAAGCTGTTTCTCAGCGCAGCTGTTCAGTAACTCTGGTTACTGTGCAGTAACAACTGCGTAGACAGCATCTCATGTAGATGCAGCCATGGCTTTCTATAGATTTTTTTTTCTACAACAGTTCTGACATAACCTATCCATGACAAGTTTTTTACACCCCCACCGGCCTGGCTGCTATTACAAGATATTACCAGTAGGTGCCAGCAACCACATACTACAACAGTCCCACTAGTGCCAAAGTGAACTCAATTACATCTCCCACAAGCAGTAAAAAAGATTAATTAGATTTAAGGATTGCAGAGAATATCAAATGGATTCTTTAAAGAAGGTGACCCTTAGTTGGCTTTCTTTTAGGACAGGTCCCACCATTATGGTCCACCCATCAATGAACAGACTTTTACATTTGTCCAGTGCCTGGTGGGCTTTGATCCTGATTCATGATCCCAGGGCACTCTATACTTATAATAAATAGAATACAGTGATATACAATACTAATAATAACAGAAAATGTGAAATAAAAATATTGGTGTATATCATTTGAAATAAATATAATTTGATCAAATCTGGCTCCCTATCTTTTCATATATATATATATCTATAGATAGATAGATAGATATATGTTTAAAAATTCAACAAGCTGAATATCTCTCTCAGCCTTCATTCACAAAGGGAAATGAATCTAGAATGCTGCAGTACTGAGCCAGAACATTAAGATCCTATGCTATATTGATATATGGGCAGGATCATAAAAACAGCAGTATAAACAATAAACAAAACAGTGGAGTTAATGTTATGCAACTTTCTCCTGCATGTTTCACAACTTTTTGTCCATCTATTCAGGCTTACTGCAGAACAGAATTTTGTATATAATTGCATTTGTGCTTATCAAAGAAAAAATAAATTACCCATGGCAAGAAGGTTCATATTAAAATTGTCTCAGCTGCTCACCACTGCTCATCGCTCACTGAGACGATTTGCAAGGAGAAGCCATAAGTTTGCAGTGGCTGGGGTTATATTTTGTCTGCTATTGATACACACTAAGGATGGGCAAACAGGGCATGTCTACACGTTCATTAATGTGCAGTAGTTACTGAGCATTCAGTTTAGTACTTGCCTAATGAAGTCATAACTAGATGTGCAGTAACTACATTTACTGCACAGTAGTGTCAGCACACAGTTATTTTGTGATGTTTACTGTGCAGTAGCTCAGTAACACTGTGAAGTGGTATATTAGCATGGGTTTTGATCAGCATGCTACTGTGCAGTGTTATTAAGCTACTGTGCAGTAAGCGTCTGGTGTAGATGCACCCACAGAGAAGTAGCTGTAGACTTACACAGTGAAGAGTCTGTCTTTTAAAACATAAAAAGAGGAAAATTCAAAGAAACTTATTCTCCTCATACTATTTTTAAACTACTGCTGATGTTAGACTTGTGTTAGTGACAGGAGAATTGTACCCAGCATTTTTTTTTATTTTTAAGTGAAATTTGACTTGTAGAATTCAGTAAGAACATAGCAAAAAATTAGAAAGTCCCCACATTTTCCCCACATACATGATTTTCCCTTCTCTCTGTTTGCTTGAAAACATTTTACTTCCTTTGTTTTCAGCTTGGGAGAGGGGGAGGGAATTTGGCCATATAAATGATTCTTCTAGACAATTCCTCCACTGATACATATGACTGCCAGGTTGGACATGAAGGATGCACTGTCATCCCATAGGGGGCAGTGAAACATCAGGCTACAGTAAAAACTTAGCAAATTCCTATCCAGTTCAAAATTGATTTTATTCCATTGTCAAAATTCATTTTATTCCTTTCTCCTCAACCTGCACCATGCACAAAACATGACTGTTCTGTAAAGACTGTATCCAGGACAATTTTCCTTCACCTTTGTGCAAAAAAGTGTACTTAAGTTGGGGGTTTTTTTTTGGGGGGGGGGGAAGGGGGTGGGGGGGGGGGAAGAGGTTAGGGGAGGGGGGGCTCCCAGCAAAAAGTAAAACATTTTTTTTACTATTCTGTAAGTCAAAAAGTAATACTAGAAACTGGGCACAGAAATCAACCATAAAACATTTTATTTTGGATACTAAAGGGTGACATTCTATTACCATTTGGTGGTCGAGATTCTATTGCCATATGGTCATCTAGGTCATTAGGCCACGTGGCCACATCAACAATCAAATGGAAATAGAATATCACCCTGAGGCACACCAGGAAGCTAATATTCCTCTCAGTTAATTAAACTCAAAACATAGTATATTGATAAAAAATTCAGAACATATTGTACTAAAGACAAATGCATGAACTCATGTTAGGATTTTCCACCCTTCTAAAATAATGCTAAATATTCTTGACTGTCTCTTTCAGGAGGATTGTCTGGAGCTAAGGAGCTGCACTAATGTATTTATTATTCTTATAGAGTATCCAAATACACGTCCAGTTTGAGTCATGCAGAGGTGGATAAGGCAGTAGAGATGGGGTTAAAAGCATGGAGTAATGCTGCCCCTTTGAACTTTGTGAGAGCAAACACAGGAGAAGCGGATATTATGATATCATTTGAAACTGGAGGTAACTATTCAACCCACAGCCATTATGGTGAACATCAAAGATGTCCCATTGTTCTTGTTGAAGATCAAGCACTTTTGCCCCCTAAGATAAAATGGGTAAAACTTTGAAAATCATTAGTTATTTGATTGAAATGTATACTTTTTTTCATGGTAGAACTAGAACCTAAATTAGTTATTCTGTAATGCCATTTTACCTCTATCTCACAGTGTACTATATGAACATAACACCTGCAGTAGAATGGATATCTGGGGCCTCTCTAAATTGTTGTTCATCCCCCTGCTGGAAGCAGATAAATACTCCCTTTCCTGGGGATGTTCTCTTGCCCTTATTCAGACCAATGCTTGTAAAAAAGAACTATGTCATTACTGCCTCTTTGATTGGCGTCATACGAATGGGGTTGCAGTTTCGTTTTCAGAAAAATGGGAGGGCTTTGCTTCCTCATTAGTAAATTATTCATTTACGAAATCACTGTGATTTTCCTACTATGCTCTTTTACTGTTTGCTAGATCATGGTGACTCCTACCCATTTGATGGTCCACGTGGGACTCTGGCACATGCTTTTGCACCTGGTGAAGGATTAGGCGGGGACACTCATTTTGACAATGCAGAGAAGTGGACAATGGGAACAAATGGTAATGTGTAGTGAATGTTGAAATAGTAAAGATATAGTATGCATACATATATAGAAATCAACATACAGTAAATGTTGAAGACATGAAGTATGGAAAAATCCTTCTTTATCATAGATAAACAAATCATCTTTTCACTGAGAGCTTAGAAACAAGCATAACCCAACAACAAAATAAAGAATATCAGAATATTTTAAGATATAAAAGGACAAAAGGAAAAATTAAGTTATTTTTGTTGAATTTTAAGTTAGACTCTGAACCTGTAGATAGCAGTATAATTTATCAACACGCTAATAGACAGGGTTGAAAATCCACCATAAATATTCATTTGGGGTTAAAAACCAAGAGACTGTATTAACTTGGGATAAATCAAAGCAAGTACGTACAAACACATATAAAAGTTGAAAGAGTCAAATTTCATTCTTCCAAATCTAAAGTAACTCAGCTTCTCCAGGATCTTACTTCTGACAAACAAATGTGGAAATGAGAATGCAATTTAGTCCATCACAGTTTGTGACAATGGTTAATATGAACTGTGAGTATGTTTGCTGCTGTATCTTTACCCAGGAGGCTTTCATTTAGCCACATGTATATAGACTTACACCAAGATAGTCACTGAAGTTAATAGTCACCACTTGTTTAATGAATGTTAATCATCAGGTACTTAAAGAGCTTTGGTGGATCATAGCCAGAGTGCTCAGCAACTGGCAGACATATGTTAAATTTCCAAAAGGACCCCCAGGACTGTGCATGTTTGACCCACACCTTCTGCTGCCCTCTCACAGTCAATGAGCTTACTTCATTTTCCTCTGCTCTGTCACTAATCAATCACTGTTCTCTGCCTGCAAGCTTGTCAGTGCCATTTTGCTTCTCCATCTGTCTTTAACAATATCCCTCTTCCAGAATAACACCCGTTGATCTCCCTGAATCTTAACCTGGCACCTGGCATTTGATAGGTAAAATCAGACTCACCCACCCCTCTGTGTTCTGGCCCTGAGACCTTGCATGAAGCAGTTGAAGTCCGATTTTCATCAGCCCCGATGTCTTCTGTAACAGAGAGCCTGGGCCTCTCTGTTCTTCTAAGAGAGAAGTAGACCAGTGAGGGAGCAATGCGGGCCAGGCAGGGGAGAGCAGCTGCAAGCACCTGCAGGCAGCGCTGCAGTAGTCTGTTGACCAGAAAGGGGGCAGGGCCCTGGCAGGATATAAGCCTGGGGCTTGGGCTGGCAGGGTAGTCTAGCCCTGCAAGCCACACAGTTAGGAGCTGCTGCCCAGAAGAGATACCCAGAGACACTAAACTGACTGCTTTGGTGCCTGTAGGAACAGCGAGGCTCAGGGTGGAAGGTATGCCAGCACAAGGGATGAGCAAAGGTTTTCCATCTTAAAAAGGCGGAGGCCTGCTTCCCCTTTATGGCTATGTTATAGCCAGGGGCTCAGTGTTTGTATTAATGTTATACCAGCAGTTTGGGTTGGGACTGTAGGAGGGGTATACAGAGGTCCCATTGGTGTCCGTGAGGATGATGAAATCATAGAATCATAGAAAATCAGGGTTGGAAGGGACCCCAGGAGGTCATCCAGTCCAACCCCCTGCTCAAAGCAGAACCATCCCCAACTACATCATCCCAACCAAGGCTTTGTCAAACCAGGGCTTAAAAACCTCCAAGCATGGAGATTCCACCACTTCTCTGGGTAACCTGTTCCAGTGCTTTATTACCCTCCTACTGAGAATTTTTTTCCTAGTAGCCAGCCTAAACCTCCCTTGCTGCAACTTGAGACTATTGGTCCTTGTTCTCTCACCTACCACCACTGAGAATAGTATAGCTCCATCCTCTTTGGAACCACCCTGTGAGTAGTTAAAGGCTGCTAACAAAACCCTTCTCAGTCTTCTGTTCTCCAAACTAAATAAGCCCAGTTCCCTCAGCCTCTCCTCATAAGTCATGTGCCCCAGCCCCCAAACCATTTTTGTTGCTCTCCACTGGACTCTCTCCAACGTATCCACATCCTTTTTATAGTGTGGTACCCAAAACTGGACACAGTTCTCCAGATGTGGCCTCATCAGTGCTGTATAGAGTGCAATAATTACTTCACTGGGTCTGCTGGCAACACTCCTACCAATGCAGCCCCATATGCTCTTAGCCTTCTTGGCAACAAGGGCACACTGCTGACTCATATTCAGCTTATTATCCACTGTAACCCCCAAGTCCTTTTCTGCAGAGCTGCTGTGCAGCCAGTCAGCAACCAGCCTGTACTGGTACATGGGATTGTTCTGTCCTATGTGCAGGACTTTGCAATTGTCCTTGTTGAATCTCATGAGATTTCTTTTGGCCTAATCCTCCAATTTGTCTAGGTCACTGTGGAGCCTGCGCCGCGCTCCACCTGGTCTATCAGAGTGTTGCCCCTCCCCTCAACTCGCTTGCCACGACTTGCATGTAAATATATACCTTAAGAGGGGTCTACAGTGGAGATCTTTATCCTGGGTGGAGCCTCCCAATTGACGGTGGTACTCACGGTTGTCCAACGCGGTGTTCCACGGGGCTCCGCCTCCCCTACACCCCATCCACGCGCCAACCACTGGGTGATGCGTTCAAGATGTTTCCAGGCCTCGTATGACAGCCTCAGACCAGTTCTCTGGTTCCCAGTCATTCTCCCTCCTTCTGGGAGCGATTTCTCCTTTTTCCTCTTTTACAGGAAATACTCCTCCGAGTTAGGAGGAGCTGCAGGGTGATTCCCCTGATTCCAGCTCCCTCTTGGAGCCTCCGCTGTCTCCCCTCTCCTACCAACAGCAGAGCGCTCCCCTGCCTCCTGAGCGTCAGCCGCTTCAGGAGACTGAGAGGGGGGCTCGGCGTTGACTCTCTGTCTGCCTTCTGCTCTGCCTCCCATAGAAGGCTTACAGCTCTTTTCTAAGCTGCCTGCTTGAGACCCACAGGCTGGGTCCTCTCCTCTTCATGCCCAAGCTTGCAGCATGAGCAGCCTGCCCGTACTCTCTCTCTCCGGCTCCCCCACTCTCCCTGTTCTGCCGGCATTTTTAAACTTTCCCGCAGCTGCCGATACAGCCGCTGAGATTGGCTCAGCTGTTCCCCACGCCGGGAACAGCTGTTGCCACAGCTGGTGTAATGGCAGTTCACGCGGCTGCAGCCGCGAACGCGGCTCCTGCTCCCACTGCTCTTCAGCAGGTACGTATGCCCCTATGGGGGCTTGCTCTCGGGGTCTGGGGTCTGCGGGTCCTCCTTTCTCTCCCTCAAGAGCCTGTGGGGGCACTTCGCTGCCACAGTCACTCTGAATCCTAGCCCTACCCTCCAGCATATCTACTACACTCTGCAAACTTGCTCCGATATCATCCGCAAACTTGCTGAGGGTGCAGTCCATCCCATCTTTCAGATTGTTAATGAAAATATTGAAACCAGCTGCCAGCTAGGCATTGAGCCATTGATTACTGACCACGTTCTATCCACCTTACAGTCCATTCATCCAACCCATACTTCCTCAGCTTGCTTGCAAGAATGCTGTGGGAGACCATATCAAAAGACTTGCTGAAGTCAAGGTATATTACATCCACTGCTTTCCCTGCATCTACTGAGAAAATTACCTCATCACAGAAGGCAATTAGGTTGGTCAGGTATGAATTGCCCTTTTGGAGTCCATGCTGACTGTTCCTAATCACCTTCTTCTCCTCTAAGTGCTTAGAAATGGACTCTTTGATGACCTGCTCCATGATTTTTCCAGGGACTGGCCTGTAGTTCCCTGGATCCTCCAGTATCTCCCTCAATCACCACAAGTTTTCAAAGATTGGATCTGCAATCACATCAGCCAACTCCCTCAGCACACTTGGATGTATTGCATCTGGCTCCATGGACTTGTATATGTCCAGCTTTTCTAAATAGTCCCTAACCTGTTCTTTCACCACTGAAGGATGCTCACCTTCTCCCCAAACTGTGCTGCCAAGTGCAGTAGTGTGGGAGCTGACCTTGCCTGTGAAGACCAAGGCAAAAAAAGGCATTGAGTTATTTTTCTCATCATTTGTCACTAGGTTGCCTCCCCATTCAGTAAGGGACCCACACTTTCCCTGACTTTCTTTTTGTTGCTAACATACTTGTAGAAACCCTTCTTGTTACCCTTCACATCCCTTGCTAGCTGCAACTCCAATTGCATGCCTGAGCAATATTCTTAAATATTGAGCCAGGAACAGGATCAAGGCACAAACAACTGTTGAGCCTGGAGTGAGCAGAGAGTGAGGCCACAGAGCCAGAGAGGGTCAGAGACCTGGCACCTGAGAGGGACACAACCAGACAGGGACCAGGGGCATGGCAGACAGGAGCCAGGGGCCCAGAGCTGGTGCCTCAAACCTAGGTTCAGTATAGTGGGCCCAAGCTAGAAGGCCTAGCTGAGAATAAAGGGGTGAAGGCCGAGGAGACTGAAGCCCCAGCAAGAGAACAATGTTACTGTAACATCCATGAGACTTGGGGTATGGTATAGGGAAGGATTGGAGTCATACAATTGCCCCTATGGCTTTAGGTGTCCTGCAGAGCATGGTCAACCAGAGGCCAGAGAGGGGCCTGAGACCAGTAGAGGCCAGTAGGGTGCCAGGGAACCCCAGTAGGGGGTTTCATCTAGACTGGGACCCAGGCGAAGGTCTGTCAGCAGCCTCCCTTTTACTATTATTATTATTCTATCAAGGTGTGGGAAGGGCGAGAAGGGAAGGGACTACAGGGGCAGAACGGGGCACAGTTTCAGAGCCACCAGGGGAAACCCTGACATGATACAGCTTCCCTCATCTCTTTTCTTGTAGGCACTTTCTTCTTACTTCTCCTCTGCTCATTTCCCTTAGTTATCTGGACAGATTTCCAGCCTGTTACTACTGATCTTCAATGGGGCTTCAGCCACTGTAAACCTAGGCTTAAAGCCTCCATCTCTTCCAGGAAGGTGCCCAATAACAACAACCTTTCTTGATGCTTCACAAGTCTAGTTAACACAACAACCCACAGCAGGTCAGCTTCCCTGCCATGAACCTCTGGCAGGCTGTGTACTGTAGACAATTTCCAGTCTGCCAGTTTTCTTGTTTGTGACAAGATGAAATGGTGAGTACCTTTGTCCCAGCTGCTGGTGTCTCTCCTTGGTAAGTTCAAAACTCAGTATAGCTTGTATAAACCACCTTGTTACTGATACTTAGGAACCTATGTCACACTCCTAAGTAATTTCAGCACTTTGGAAAATTTTACCATGTGTGTTTAGCTTGAATAAATATTGGCCCATGAGTCTGACCTGCATTACTTACTTTGGATGTGAAAAACCATGTTTGCACTGGAAATATTTGCTTTGTATTATTTAGGATTTAATTTATTCACTGTTGCTGCTCATGAATTTGGTCATGCGTTGGGGCTCGGACATTCTACTGATCCATCTGCTTTGATGTATCCCACCTACAAATACCAGTCTCCATTTGGATTCCACCTGCCAAAGGATGATATAAAAGGGATCCAGAAATTGTATGGTATGTATTACATTTTCCTGCACTAGCAAAAAATCACTGACTACACAATAAAAGAATCATAATTAGTTTCCAACCTGCAACTGGTGCATACTGAAATTTGATAAATCATATATTTTATGCTTAGGTTGGTCAATAAATCATGTTTTTATCATCTTGTTGATGAAAAGCTTACCATGTAAATGTGGTAGAAGAATTTTCTTCTCCAGTTATATCAATTGGGATGGATTTCCCATGTAGTACACCAGGAGATTACTACAAGGCTTCATTTTTCTCTGGAGCAATGAAACCTAATAGGGGCAGATGAGTAGCACCATATTTGATGCAGTTAATTTTCTATGACCCCCAAATTGTGAGCACAGGCAGACTTCCCACTTTCTAACTGTGTGTCTCACCAAGCCCTCATTTCTGTCTCTTAGAAATTGTATTATATATATATATTTATGTTATTAAGCATCTTAGTGCATGTAGCTGCCCATATTAGAGACTCATTCAAATCCTTTAGCAATTTATATAACTTTGTATTTGTCATTGTAATTTTCAAGCATATACATGAATAATCTGGGCCATTCCTAGAAAGTTATGCAGACAATGCCACTGCTCCGAAGAGTTGCTAATTCCAATACTGCACAAGTGAGGGTCATAAACAAGAGAGAAGGAGTACATAAGATTTAAATGACAAAAGGAAGCTAGGTTAGTAAGTGTGTTCTGCAAGCACATGCCATGTACAGAAAACACTATGTCAAAAAGCACTGAGGCAGGTATTGAATAATCTCTGAATATTCACCTCAAGATAGAATAGTGCATTGTTCCTATTATAAAGCAGATGACATTGATTATTTGTTCTGAGAATAAAATGAAATATTTTAGAGACAAACAAAGTATATTGTGACTAGACAATAATGATGAGCTTTGCCACATTCATTACTACTCTAAGTGGCTGCCCTGCTATGAAAGCAAATGGAACTGCTCCAGCAGATACCGGCACAGAAATTATTTCACCTCCTCCGTATAACTGCATGGAGTAGTGCTGTAGACATTAGAGTTGTGCATTGCACTGTGGCTCCAGCAGACAGTGGAAGAAATGTCTCTCAAAAATAACCAAACAAACAAAATACATAAATACACCCAATGACCAGAAGCACTGAGCATATACAGAAATTTGCACCATCACAGTAAAAACTCTTCTTCTTCTTGTTGTATCAGGACCTCGGAAATCTGGGGCAGAAGGGCCCAAGGTACCACAGAACCCTCCTACAAACCCATCAGGTCCATCAAACCCAGATCACTGTGATGCTACCTCATCATTTGATGCTGTCACAATGCTGGGGAAAGAACTTCTATTCTTCAGAGACAGGCAAGGTTTACATTCCCTGTGTCATCCCATGGTAACAGTATATTAGAATATGTGCTTTTTCTCCCTAGGAACCTAGACATGGGCTACTGAGCACACTCAAAAATGCCCAACTCTCACCCAAGCTCTGATCCACACTGGACCTGGAAGGGCTGAGGACTAAATCCTATTTTACTAAATCCAATTTCAAAACTGCAAGTTCTGGCACTTGCTCATTGTCCGTATTCTATTTCCACCTGTTATGGAATAGAATTCCCCAAGGATGTATAATTTCTACAAGTAAAATGGAGAAGAAGAAGAAGGAGGATTCTACCATCCTTTAGCCCAATAACCTTGTGACTCAGACATTCAGCCAAGCAGTGGAAGACTTGGGTCCTAAGCCTCCCTCACCCAGAAAGAGTTGGACTCTACATCTCCTACTTCCAAGCAACATGCTTTTACTACCAGGCCATAGGCTGGCCATTGCCTGATGCACCCTCAAGCCATCCTTTTGAAGCTAATCCCCTGGGAAAAGAAGGAATATTTGTGTGACCAGGAGAACAAGCTGGTTGGCTCAGTGAGGGGGACACTGCCCTTGAAGAAAGGGAGCCCTGATTTAAACCCCCCCATTTAAAGCCACAAGGCTTTTCTATACCTTGCGTTTAATGTTTGTTGGCTAATGGTTATTCAATGGTTGGATGGTTTCTGCCCCATTGACAGTGGAAGCCAGTGCTAGAACCCAGGGCCTTCTTCCTTCCAGGGTGGTGTCCATCTCATTGACTCAAACACCCTCTATCTTGCTAGCCTCCTGGTCCCACACATAATCCCCTCCTGTCTGTTAAGTGGTCCTTCTTCAAGAGAAGGGCTTGAGAGTGCTTTTGGCAATGGCCTGGTTATTAAAGGACCTTGTTAGGAAGGGGGAGAAACACATTCTAGTGGGTGAGGGAGTCTTATAACTCGTGTCTCCTATTTCCATGGCAAGTGTCTTAACCATCTTCTCACCCTCACCAAAAGTGGTGTTACAATAACTGCAAAATTTAGCTACTGGAATACCTCAGAATTACTGAAATCTGAGTTTCTCTGCTTTCAATTTTGGTTTATGTTAAACAAGCAGTAGATGATGTGTGCTCTGGCTGTAATAGAAATGAAACATTTTTTTACCATCACATGCTGAAGTCCTGGCCTCACAGGCTAAATACACACAGTCAAAAAGCCTGAAGCTGAATCAATTCAATCGTTGTAGGTTAGTCTAAGCCAGGGGCAGGCAATTATTTTGGGCGGAGGGCTGCTTACTGAGTTTTGGCAAGCCTTCAAGGGCTGCATGACAGGCAGCCAGGGGCAGATAAATATTTATTTTCTAATTTTTTTAGGGGCCCCAAAGACCAGATAGAATGGCCTGGTGGGCTGCATCTGGCCCACAGGCTGCATTTTGCCCACCCCGGGTCTCAGCTGTGTAGATTGAACCAATAAGCAAGTGAATGGACATTCACTTTTGATTCTGGAAATGCAGCCACATGCCTGCTGTGGCCCAGGCCAGAAGCCAGGGGGTGCTACAGCAGCCCTCCCTGTTGTCTGAAGCAGACACTTTGGGCTAAGGCTAGCCTACCCACTCATCAAGGGGAGGTTTGCAGGGGAGGTGCAAAACATCCTGGAATGCTTGGGGCTGAGAGTTAACTTGGACTTGGAGGGAATCTGGGACAGAAGTTCAATAAACTAATTTAACCTAAATCAGTTAAGTCTGATACTACATCCATCCAGGTTTATCTTAAACTGGCCATTTTGAAAGACATTTATGTGCACTGAACTTCTGTTGTGTTGCAGATTTGAACCGGTTTCCAATCACTTATACCGGTTTATATGTACTTTCTGTTCCTAGCCACAAAAGCCATTAGCAAAATTACTATTAGACTTGGATTTAATCCAACATGGTGAGGTAACAGACTGGAAAATGCAAGTTGTAAGGAAAGATTGAGCATCTCCCATTGTGCAAAATTTTCTACATGACCACATTAGTAACCTCCATAACAGAAAAGTCTTCAAAAGCTTGTAAGCAAATACACACATTCCCTAGATGAGTTTCAGTCTGTGTTGATCACTGAGAGCTTAGTGATATTTTGGGAAATTTGGGCTGCAGATGGTATTTGGCTCTGTTTCCCTTCATATTTACCATGGGGCAACTAAAACCTCTAATTTCCCTGAGGAGCAATTTGCTTTTACTTTGGTCACCTGTATGGTGCAAGAGCAGAGGCCAGAGGTTCTTTACTGCTGTGAGGAATGTCACCTCCTTTTTTTACTGCAAATATGCATGTCAAGTGGCCAAAAAGACACCCGTCTTTGTTGGCAAAAAAACAGATGGCGTCCCCCTCAGTAGCAGCTCTTGTCCCGCATGCTACCATCTCTTCTCTGCCCTGATTGCTGCCAGAGCTGGAGCTAGAGCTGTTATAGAGAAGCTGCAGATTGAGTGGGGGCTGTGGGAAGGAAGTTGAGAAGCCCCTACCTCCACTCTGTGTCCCCACCCCACCCTTTCCTTAGGCTGCACTTGGGACTTGTGTCACTTGTTGTTAGGATACTGCTGTAAACCCAAGCTTCAGGACCCCTGGCTCAGCCATGGCTCCCAGGGTGTTCAAATTCCTAGTGAGAGCTGGAAGCCTAGAAGTCCTGGAAGCCATGAACCTCAGAAATCAGGATTGGGAGTCCCACATGCTTGGCAGAGAGCTGGAAGCACTGAGAACTGCATGGTTTTGAGGTTCCTGGCACTGTATCAGGGAGCATGGAAACACTGAGTTCCCATATAGGGCAACCCATAAGGTAGGGCTAGCCCCACGGTACCACAGACTGTAGAAGGCCTATATTTTCACCTCCAGTTGATAAAACTGTCCAGTTGACAAAGCTGACTCAGGGTCATGTGTTTGAAGCCCAGACTTCTCCACAGACCATGTGGTGAGCTGTCATGAAACTAGGAAGGGTTCTGATAGATTGTTGCCTGTGTTTCATAGGCACTTTGTCAAAACGAATGTATTTCAACAAAATTCTTCTACTTCAGCTTTCACAACCTGTTTGATTAGAAAATTCCTAACCAGTGAGTGGGCATGGAAACCAAATTATCAGAAATTAACTGCATCCTTTACTGGTATTGTGCAGCATTTGCCATATTTTTTTAGCTTTGTATTTAGCTCAAAAAACATTGTTTTTGTTTCAACTTCTCATAGAAAAAATGGCAAATGCCTTTTATTCCACAAAATAATTTTGTTTTAATAAGTTACTCTATGGGACTGGTGAATCATAAGCACTATCTGTACTTGCGAAAAGGGCTAGTGACCATGGCTCTTAATACCAGTTCAGTTTTTTACACTGAAGATAATATGGAGTGCCTGAGAACAGGTATTGGGGTCACCTGTGTTCATTTGTGGGCTACGATCAGCCCAGACCAAGTAGTTACAATAAGGACAGTCTGCTCCACTGAGGACTCAAGGATTGTGTAACTTTTTCACACAAGTCAGACACACAGGTAGCATTTTAGCTCAGGAGAACTGAGGCCTCAGATTCTGGAATCTGATGCCTACATTTCTTGAGCTCCTTTTCAAATCCCAACTACAAACCTTAGTGTGATTACTTCCAGTGAGGATCAGCAG